ACATATGTTCAAGATGGGGACACAGTGAACATAAACATGGAGGGTTGGACTGAGATACAGGGTCCATATTAATTTCTGAAAAACCGTTTGTAGGAAAGCTTGTAACCGTCTTGAATGTTGGTTTTATTAGCATCTTCATGATGGCGCCATTTATGACATTTTTCAGTTCATGGAATTCACGGTGCAGTACAGATCTCCATTCTGCCATAGGCCAGAAGTACTTTATTTCAAAATAATGTCAACAGCCATATGGCAAGTACAACGTATAGCCTCCAGTTTTCTTTCCCGTCAAAGGTACTCGTTCATCTCTCATGGAAGAATGAAATGCAAGCGACTTCACTAGATCTTGAACTCATAACTCTTTGACTTTAAGTTCGACGCTCATCTGACCGAGAAGCCTCGAAAAGCGAAGTTAATTTATTTCACCATGAATTTTACCCATTGAGTGTTACTACTGCTGTTTCTCAATTGTCATGTGAGGCTAACGGAGCGTAAACAGCAGAACAACTCAGTTTGTCTAATGTCTAATCATCAGAAGCGGCACTTCTCCAATAAAAAATATGAATCATGAGCACTGTTTACCAAGCTCCAGCATCACTGCATAAATACTAATATCATACTGGTTATATATCATCATCATCAGCCTTTGTCGGGTCACTGCTGGATGAGGGCCTTTCCAGGACTTCGACATAGACATTCGTTTTCTGTCATGTTCATCTATCTCGATTTACCGCGCTTCTTCAGCTCATCCTATCATAGATCTGGAAATCTTCCTTCAGCTCGTTTGCTCTTTCTTGGAACTGCGTTAATGACTCTCTAGTCCAGCGATGGTTGGCTCTTCTTGCAACGTGTCTTGCTCACTGCCACTTTAGTTTCATCACTTGGGCAATCACATCGCAGATTCATGCTTGTACCCTTATCCATTGACTCGTTTTCCTATCTTTTATTGTTATTCCAAACATACATCTTTTCATGTTGCGTGGCGTTATTTGTAGCTTATGAATAGCTTTCGAGGTTAGGGTCTACGTTTCGCACCCATAAATTAGCACTGGAAATATACGCTGACCGGAAACTTTCCGTTTTAAGCACAAAGGCAGTTTCCCGGATAGGAGCATTTTCAGTCTTCAGAAAAGCAAGATGATATCTTTATTTTTCTGTTGATTTCGCATAATCGATGTGCTAATTTTTCCGTTGATGTTAATGTATGTTGCTCTCTCCGTTGCAGAAATCAACTATCCCAGACAGACATGGTGTCCTACTTCTTCGGGCATAAGTTCGTTGACTTCAACAGGTCGCGCGATCACGTATCTGTTGGACATGACCTGAATCTTCTTCAAGGCCAATTTCAGTCCTGCTTCGATGCTGATATCGTTCAGCTGTTGGATTCCTTTCTAGATTTTTTCTGAGATCCTTGAAAAGATCAAAATACTGTTTGCAAACCGCAGGAGGCTTAAGTAGGCCCATTTATGTCCAACCCCTAGTTTTCTAGACGGAGTGTCTTGTAAATCTCTTCTAGAGCCACCGTGATCAACGTCAATGATATTGCGTCTTCCTGTCGACCAAGGTTTCGATTTTGATCTTCCTTGTGCATTCATGATGCTTTACACTAGTACTAGCATTCTTGTAGACCATATTGATGAAGTCTATACATCTCTTCTTGATCCCACATCAACTAATCAAGTACAGAACGGCTGTAGACTGATTCAGAATCATCGAAATCAGCA